ACAGCCACAGTTTTTCAAAAAGGCAGGCAGAGAATGAAAGAGGAAACAGATTTGCCCTTGCAAAACATTAAAATCTCACAAATCTGCATCAGTCCACTGGACTTCTTTCTCACAGGGTTTCCTCCCAGGGTCATCTGCATATTAGCAAAATCCTGGCTCTGCATAGCATCTGGTCCTTGGTCTCCTGCAGCAAACACAACTCTTGGGGCAGGGGGGCATAGCTGGAAGCCTCTCTGACTGCTTACCAGTACACTGATATGGATTAAAAAGGTTGGATCCCAACCTAATACAGCAGCCAGCAGGACAGAATAATAGCAAGTACCTGGAGTAGTTTCTGCTAGCTTACATTGGACAGGCCTTTATTTAGTCTTGATGGTGCTGCTCAACATTTGAACCCCACTTCATGGATGTGATAGCACAGCTCCTTCTTTTCTGGTAGAAGTTTATATCTAAGTTTGCACTGTTTTTCCCTTTCAGTAGCCCAAGAGAAACAGAGCACTCCCGCCCAGAGCAGCTGGAACACGTGGCTTCACTCGTGCTCCCTCTTGAGATCCAGCCACCCACATCCTCTCCAAAACTGGACAGGTAGACAGGCGTTTCCAAAAAATAAGGCTACAAATATTAGGGAGCGGAGACAAACAACATCACTACAAGGCTCTTGCTGGCGCACTGGTACCACATCTCTGGAATGGCATTACACCAAATGTTATGCTGATCATTATATAGGTATTCTTTCACCGCTGTGAACAAATAACCTATTACTTCCACTGTCCACTTGTACACAACAAAACATAGTGTATTGGTTTTGCTTTCAAAGTAAACATGATAAATCAAGCAAGGGAGCTACAAGACTTTTTTTTTAAGCTCAACAGCAAGTTGCCATTGTGCAACTCAGCTGCAAAGCCTGTTTTAGGCTTATCCCTTCAGTTGTCTTGCAACAGGAGTTTCCACAATTGCTTGCTCACATGTTTTTTTGTGAGCACACACATGCTGATAGATTGCATCACTGCAAAAAGTGATGCAATTTTACCCAGAGGTCTGTTTTCCTCACAAAACTGACTGATGTATATGTGAAAGGCTGCCCCAACAAGTGCAACTGTTATTGGTAAAACTTAGCAGCACAGAACAGACTGGGACATTCTCATACTAAAATTATTTATTTAAATTAGCAAACAGGTGTTTGTTAAAGGTGTTTTTCCTAAACAAGCTGTAAAAACTCTGTGGTAGGCACTCAGGATTTTTTGCCCACTGAAAGATTACAAGTTTATATGACAAGTCATTTGTACACTATCTTCATTCCTCAAAAATTAAATATGCTGCTGAAATAGTTGAAATGGCAGGGGCTACAGTTGTTCCAAATGAAAAGTTCACCATGACCTAGCAGGAGAAGGGGAACCCAAACAAGTAGCCTCTGCTTCTGTTAATCTTTGCTCTAACAGCAAGCATAGAATATCTCAGCTATATACTTTGTTTTACATAATTAAGAATGTATCACTAGACAAGTTTATCTTGTGACTTTTAATAATTTCTTTACTGAGTGCACCTGGTCAAGTTCACATACGCATCTAGGTTATTCTAATACAACCTTACTGCTACAGTCCTCAAGACCTCATTTGGGATAACGAAATCACTAGTAGAAAAGCCTTGGTCAACCTTCACAAGTTATAGCAAGGATTACTAACAGAAAAAAAAGTATTCAAGCAAGACACTGCAAACCGTATTTTATTAGTAGGGGATTTCTGGCAAAGATGTAGGCAGTCTGAATAGAAGAGTCTGTTAAAAATTGCTACATATATTATACCCAACAGCAAGCATACATGTTTTCTCCTTCTAGAATGGGCAGAACAGAGTTCATTTTCACACTACATATTTTCGAGAAAAATTTTTCAGTACCAGATATTTTCTAATAGAAAAATTCTGTCAAAGCTGCTGAAAGGGGAAGGGAGAACAAGTGAAGCATGACAAATAAATGCGATATTGTTTAAACAAAAGGCAGTTCTGTCATTTGACCAAGTTGATAATATGCTTTTCACCAATGTACCTTGGTCTTGATATGCAAGAATCATAGATTGTTTAGGTTGGAAAAGACCTTTAAGATCATCAAGCCCAACCATTAGCCTAACACTGCCACGTCCACCACTAAACCATGTCCTCAAGCACCACATCTGCCCGTCTTTTAAATACCTCCAGGGATGGAGACTCAACCACTTCCCTGGGCAGCCTGTTCCAATGCCCGACTACCCTTTCAGTGAAGAAATTTTTCCTAATATCCAATTTTTTTTTTTATGTATAATCCAATTAACTAGAATTTCTAAATGCACTGACATTCACATCCCATAGACTGTCTCTTGTCCCATAGACAAGAGAAAGAACATGGATAAGCTGTCAGAGCATCACATTTCAGATCCCCATCCTGCTATAGGTAAACCATAAATTAACATTATGTGAGCAAACCAGCTGAACTTTTAGTCGAGATAAAAATTTAGCAGCATAGCACTAGAGCAAAACTGAGGCATCAGTACAAATTTTCTGTAAACTATGATAAAGACTACTGACTACAGAGAGCTACAGCTCTTGAATATAAGGAGACATACCGAACACTAAACTGTTTCTCTCACTGTTTACTATTAAAAGAATCTTTGCCTTTTCATAAAAGGCAAAAAAAAATGTGGTAGATTAGAGACTAAAGTGCTGCAGCCAGATCTTTTTTACTGGTTGGTTGTCCCATTAGTGATTTTTTAAACAAATATCCCTAAAAAGATATTAATTCACCATAAACTATGTAAGTATTTAAACACCTAGATAGTGCTCTTTTAATCCTGTATTTTTTCTCCTAAAACAGATTAATAGCTGGATGATTTAGATACCAAGATTTAAAAAACACACCACAGGGATGTGACAGGGTTTAGAAATATCTCAATATATAAGACTAGGTTTCTAAAATTCTCTTCAGAATACGCTTTAAGTGATCCTATTGAACTTTTATTGTCCACTAACTCCACTTGCATTGAGGAGTAAATCATCCTCCCCACCACCCTCTCCCCAGGGAACTTCATGACTGAGTGTTCATCAAAACAGCTAGGATCAAATGTCAAGTTATAGTGTGATAATGAAAACAACAGGAGAAGCCTCAAACTTCCTGTAAAACACTAAGGAAAGATGTAAACACTAAAGAAACGATTAAAAAACTTGAGAATCAAGTAATGACATTGGCCTCAAAGGAATGGGTATTCTTACATTCTCCCAAAGCTGGACTTTTTGGATATTGGCTGAGAGCAGGATCGGTCATCCCAGTCAACATTATGAGGAGCAACTGGCAGTCCAAGGGCTTAGCTGTAGGTAAGTTATCATCACTGCAAGACTGCCAGTTTCTCTCCCCTCTTTCCTTTGACTATTTCAGTCAATAACAATAGAAGTTTTTGTTACACTTATTTACACCACTGAATAAATCCTTAATGATAGCCAAGAATTCAGTGCAGTATAAATACAGCAGGAAGGAGGAGGAAGAAACAACTGTTAAGCAGAAGCTTGGGTCAAAGTCCTTCTTCACTGAACATACTTTTTTTAAACTAATATCTAAAATTTTAAAGGTGACGTTCATCAGATATGTTACTTTGATTACTACAGCAGTGTAACTCAACAGCAAAGACAGAATTTTGAGCTTCAGACAAAGCTTACTGCAATACCGTACCACAAAACTCAGCATCTGGCAAAATTATATGACCAATTTGTTTTGAAGAACATAAGCCAACATATAGAGTGTAAACAGATCAGAAGACACTTGACAAGAGTTTGATTTCCATTGATTTCCAAAATATATTAGCAGCAGAGCTTTTGGGGTTTGTGGGAAGGTTTGTTTGGGGTTTTTTTAATTATTATTTGGGTTAAGTTTTCTGTAGAATTTTAGATTTTTTTAAAATTCTTCAATATCGCAAGCATGCAAAGGACACGTGTCTGAAACTCCAAAGTTGGCATGCTTGAGATCCCATCATGTTTTTAACACACTTCTGGAGTCCTTCAGGATAAAAATGTAGGTGTATGAGAACTGACATTAATAAAACAAGCAGCACTGAAAGATTAGATGATTTTATATTCAAAAAATCTGGAGACTTATCAACAGAAGGAAGACACTTGATTTTTTTTTTAAACAGCATAGTAAGAGAATTTTGTAAAAATCTTAATGTTCTTTTACAAAATAAGTTAGAAAACATTACACAATTGTTAACAGTGCTAGACAAGCCTAAGTATCCCAAATAAAGAATGCCTTCCAAAAATAGTGCTGAGTGAGAAAACACATATTCAATATTGAGATAGTTATCAAATTTGAGAGGTAGATGACAATCTCAATCTATTATTTGGGAAAGGTAGCACTGCAACTGTTTATGTAAATGGCATTAAGTATTATCTATACAGTGTCCATACCTGTGTAAGAGCACAAAGAGGAGGAAGAACACTGTCTCTCACCTAACAGCAACTATATTCATCTAATGTCCTTGGTCTGCATCATCAGTTCTCCTGGAAATGCAGGTGGGGGGAAGAAAGGATTAGGAAGGCAAGGAAAAGAAAAAAAATCAACCCCATTTGTGTATGCAGGCAAATAACAGGCAGAACACACCATCCAGATTGCAGTGAGGGTAACTGGGCTCGCAGCACAATCCTCTGGACAGTGTGGCTAGATCAAGTGGAAACAGCAGGAACCTGCATAGGCAGAGAAGGAAGCACCAGAAGTCCTGGACAGTGCTTTTCATGATGTGAATTCAGACACTTTGCCTAATGGATTTATGATGGTGCTCCACTGTTGGAAAAGCATTTCTGTTCCTATTCACCATGTCCATCAGATTCTGGATTTTCATTGAGAGGAAAAGCAGTAACTAATAGCAGCACTGATGCAAAGGCTTTGTCACAGCAATGATCAGAGTATGCTATTAACCTGCCAACACCTGTAAAGCACTAGCTGTTGCAAAAAGCATCCACTTCAAAAACAGTGTTAAAAGCACAGCTCAGTACACAAACGGGATCACAATTTTTCTGCATTTTGGGTAGTCTTCAAATTTCTCAAGGTACCATCTGAAAAACAAAGACAGAAATCTGATGAGTATTGAGTCTTCAAAATGCCGTCAAGGCAATTAAGTAATTGTACAATGTGTTCAATTTAATCCATATATTTTTCTGGCTACAAATAAAAAATGCCGTTAGAACCTACTCTGGATAGAAAACTGCCATTTACCACACATCCTAATGACATCTAACCACCAACTACAACAAAATAAAGTTATTGTTACCAGGAATGGGAAATCAAACCAACAGATGTGGTGAGAGCAGCCACAGGGAAGGAATAGCCTGTTGTTGGCAAGTGTATGTTGTTATGCATCCTGAGTATTTGCATTTTAGAAGTAGAGTGGGAAAAAAACCCAAAATATTCAAGGGAATGACATGTCAAATTGTATGACTTCACATGGAAGCAAGGGGTACTTCACCTACTGGCATGACAGTCCTGTTCTGGATACAAATGTCTTCAGCTCCAGTCAAGATTTGGATAATCAAAATGAATGTGACAAACATTACACTAGCCTTATTGCTAATCCCCCTCAAAGACCACCACTATTTTCAAATCCAGACAATTTTAAAAGAATAAATGCATAGTGCCACCAAATGTTATTTGTCTGGTCACCTTATATAACAAACACATTTACTCCCATTTTCAAATATTCATTCTTCTGCTTCTCTAAAATAAAAAACAAAAAAGAATTAACTTCATCTGGGCTCCTCAAAGGTACAGGTATTCATATTATCAATAGTTATCTGCAAGATCAAAGCTGGAATAAGCAGAGAACAAAACATGCAATTCATGATAACCTGCAGCTGTGGAATACCAGCATTACACTATTTATCCTTTTCAGTCATTTATTCTAAGTTTTTCAAACTAAACAGACTGCACTGAAATATTTCTTCATTTACATGGATTTGCTATTTTCAGTTGCCTTTTTTTCTGTACCCCTCTTCCATTTTTATGGATTTTTCCTTTAGTGCAAATTACTTCCTTTAACAATGTTTGCCTTTCATAATGGTCTGTAAGTCAAGAGCTCCAAAAGAGTGCTGTCAAAGCTTAAGATAGATGGAAACCAATCATGGAATTTGGGCCTGAAGAACATAATATACAAGGAGAGGCTGAGGAAACCTGGCATTGCTTAGTCTGGCAAGGAAGAGACTAAGGGCCCTGTTATTGCTGCCTACAGGTACTGGAAGGGGAGTTAAAGACAGTGGAGCAAAACTATGAATGAAATGCAAACTTTTGCAGCTGGCATGCAATAGCCCCATGAAAAAGTGCAAGCCAGAGACTGACTGGCTAGATAGGAGCTCTGCCCAAAAGGACATGGACATCCTGGTGGATAAGTTGAACCTGAGTCAGTAATGGATCCATGCAATGGTGGATGCTAACTGCATACTGGCCTGCTTTAATAAGTATAGAACCACCAAGCCAAGGGAAGTGCTTATTCTCCACTATTCAGCAGTTGAGAGCTTGCATCTGCATTACTGCCTCCAGTTCGCATCTTCCTGTGAAACAGCGATGTCCACAAACTGGAGAAGAATCCTTGGTCATCAAGAAGATGGTCATTAAGATGACTACATAGCTAGAACATAAGAGGAGAGGTTGAGGGAACTAAACTTCTTTTCCAGGCTGAACAAGCCAAGAGGCAGATCTAACTGCAGTCTTCCACTACCTACAGTGATATTAGAGAGAAGGCAGAGCCATACCCTTCCTGAAGGTGCAGAGCAAGTGGACAAGTGGCAGGTAATAAAAGCTGCAACATGGAAAATTCCAACTGGACATAAGGAAAAAACCCCTCTTCCCCATGAGAATGGGAAAAATCCTGTTCCAGTGCTTAGCCAGAGATGTGCTGAAGCCTCCACCCTTGGAGACACTCAGAATTCAACTGGATGAGGACCCAGGAAACCAGGGTATAGCCTTGCAGTTAGCCCTGACTGGAGCAGGTCACACCAGATGACTGAACTGGACAATCTTCAGATGCTTCTCCCAACGTAAGATATTCTGCAACTCTGCCCAGTAATAGCAGGTGGCAAGACAAGGAGAGATGGTCAGAGGTGACAGGCTTGGAAGGTTCAGGTTGGACAGTAGGAAAAACTTGTTCACTGGGAGGGTAATACAGACCTGGAACACCCTACAAACAAGGTGCAGGACAACCTCCACTTCTGGAGGTTTTCAAGACTCCACTAGACATAGCCATGGCTGCCCTGACAGACTGTTAGCAATGGCATTTTTTTCAACCTATTTCCTCCAGCAATTCATGTTTATTTCCTCCTATGCCACTAAGTTTCAGCATGAGAACCAAAGCAGAAAGCTGAAAATAACCAAAATAAGATTAAGGCATTCAAATTCTTTTAAACATGCTATTCCTTAAAGAGAATCCTTTCAAGAAACAAGTCTTCTCAAACTATGATCCTTCTGTTAGCAGGAAAGCCACAGTACATTAGCAGTCAGACTGTTTAATTACAGAGCAGAGACTTTATTAAATATCATCTACCAGAACTGTTTTCATATTGTCTATACACTTAATTATAGACAATACAATATAGACTTGACTATAAAGTGTGCCTGTTACAGAAGACTTCAGAGTGATTTTCAAAGTTTTAATACAGAAACAAATTTGAGCCACAAGGGAAAGTATAGTATATGATCAGTTAAGACAATTTTCCCGAACTCATCTATAATCTTTTCACACCCAGGATGAACTGTGTTCATTTAAACATTATTTTGACCACCTCTTTGTACATTGTGTATTGTTTATGCTCAGTACTATCCCGTTGAAATTCTTCAGTGCTTAATACGACTCAGAATATTCTCTATCATATTCTCCACTGCAGTAGCAGAGTCTTCCACAAGACCTGCTCTGCAACATCCCTATGGGATGAGGCATAATTTGTGAAATGGAAATGAATTGTGACATACAAACAACAGAAATTATAAGACACAAACACTTACTGGTGGTGTTGTTTTGCCCTCGAACCCAAGATGAAAAGTGTACACAATGCAAATGCAAGGCTTTCAATGGTGCAGCAGGCAAGAGCAAACCCAAACCATTCCAGGATCTCTCCAAAAAAGTTGGCTCCACTGACATACTCAAACATTCCTCCTGAAAGCAGGACAGAGTTATTTTTAAAAGCACCTTAATCAAGGAGATCTCCGATGCTATCTTTTACTGTAAGTCAAATAAAGGCTATATCACCAATGTCTCTATATAATTTTTAAAGGTAGTGGAGGCAGGATTTTTCAGTTCAAGCTGTACTATGAAGGATCACTTCAGACCTCATTCTAAGACAGACCTTCTCCAGCTCCATTTTTCCTCTTTAAATCATGAAAGAAAAGCAGATTTACTAGTATCAGAAGCAAGCTCATGCCTCTGTAAATAATTACTTAACAATGATATCAAACTGGCTCCTTGATCATAAACTAGACCTTTAAAATACATAAAAATAGAAAAATATGCTCCACTTTAAGAATTCCAGAAAATACTAGGGTTAGTTAGCACACAATGTTTAATTTCATTAAGTACCTCAGAAATAAAGTTAATTGTGAACGATATTATTATTATTTATTAAATTCAAAATTTATCCTCTAGCTTAAAATGTGTTGCCCTTTTGTTCCCATTCCCCATCAGGTCTACTGCTTCAGTCCTGACACTCAGTGAAAGAAGAAATTGGCAGTCTGCATTAAATGTGTTTTACAGCTAATTATGCATAAACAATCACTACTTACCTGCTGGGAATTTTATAAAATAAGAACTTTCACCCTAATTCCAAAGTTAGCAAACAAATTGATAACATCTCAGTATGTGCTTTACCAGTGGGACTAAACAAGTAAGTATTTGCCAAGTGTAATAAAGGACATGTTTTGACCTTGCTTTAATTACTTTGCTTTTGTGACAAAAGAGAAGCAGAATTCTGGCACTTAAACTGGATAAGCAATATCAAAAAGACCAGCTCTTCCTGATTGTGCAGCAAATAATATCTTGCTTCCTCCAGAACTCTTTTTGTACACTGAAAATGGTACAGTATGTTCATATTCATTTTTCACATGGGCACTTGGATTTACATCTGTTAAAATTAGAAAGTTACCTTCTTGATGAAAAATAACAGTTCACTGCCTTATATATCTAGTTCTTCCAGCTTTATTTAAAAAAATGTCACTAAAAAACTGGAGAGCACAACAACTAAAGGAAAAACTTAAGAGAAACAGCAGAATTCAGAGGTAACTATTATTTCTGCACTCACTGAGTGTAATGTACCTGGACAAGTCTAATGTTTCCAAAAGTGTCAATAAACCTTAACACTTCAATAGGCTCCATAAGAAGTCCTTTCATATTCTCCATTTTCCCAAAGGCCAGAATTTATAATGCCTAACTTCCTTTGGATTTCTGTCCTCTTCTCCCTGTATCTCCCTTACCACAGGTTGTTGCTCTCTGACTACTTAAGATCCCTCCTTCTTCATATGTGGGACAACATAAGTTGGGCCAGCCACACACAGTTGTGAGCACTTTCTGCCTTCCCCTCCTGCCCCCACACTGGGGTGATAATTTAGGTCTTCCTTCTCCACCCACCTGCTGATTCTCATAAGAGTTGTGGAATGCTATATTACATTTTTACCACTTTTTAAAAATACAGCCAAAGGTGGTCAAGAAATTCACAGACTCACACAAGCCACATGATATCATGAAACACATCCCTTAGAATACTTGGCTTAAGAGGAAAAAAGTTTCCCACACTCTGAAATCACTTCTTGAAGTAGACAACAAACTATTTCCAGTTTCCTCTTATATCAAAAATTACTACCTCCCCTAAAACACACCAAGCTTTAGAAGGTCATCTTTACACAGAATCATTTTAGGTTGGAAGGGACCTCTTGAGATCATCTAGTCCAACCTGCCCTGGCTCAAGCAGGGTCAGCTACAGCAGGTCACCCAGGACCATGTCCAGTCTGGTTTTGAGTATCTCTACAGATGGAGCCTCCACAACCTCTCTGAGCAACCTGTTCCAGTGTTTCACCACTCTCACAGCAAAAAACGTGTTCAGATGTAATTTCACATGTTTGAATTTTGTGCCAATGCCCCTGGTCCCGTCACAGGCACCACTGAAAAGAGCCTGGATCCCTCTTCTTCATTCCCTCCCATCATGTATTTATACACATCAATAAGATCCCCCTGAGCCTTCTCTTCTCCAGGCTGAACAGTCCCAGCTTTCTCCACCTCTCCTCATATGAGACACTTCTTTTGCTATATAAATTTCTGTAACATTTTTGCTTACCTCTTGGTATCTTGTAACCAGTTTCCCCTGGTTTTCTCAGATTTCTGAGAATATTATCAGAATGAATATTGATTGCCATGCCGATCAACCACCCTATAAAACCTGAAGAGAAATATTTAGAATACTATCTTTAATACGCTGAGCCAAAGTGCTTGTTCAGAAAACAAACTATGGTCATATATCACATATTAGGCATATTATCTCAAAGCAGTAGTAATGTAAGCAGTATAAGCAATTCTGGTGACATCCCGCACAATCACAGTCCCACACTGAGCTATTCAGTCAGCAGAGCTCACAGTAATCAACAGGTCTCTAGATATGAATACTACTATAAGTATAAAGTTTATTCTTATGTTGCTAGACTTATATAAATGTATGCATGTGCATAAATACAGATATAATGTGTATATTACCTTAACTTCCACACAGAAAAACCAATACACTAAAGTTTTAAACACTGAAAGAAACAGCCATTCTCATTCCTGCCAGATGGACACATCTTAGTCCCCCTCTTTTTTTTTTTTCTACTGACAATATACCAGAGTTTCCACAACAGACTTCGGTACAATAAAAGGAATAACAAAATTGCGAAGGAATTCATGCACCATTTACTTGTGTCATTCAGCAAAATGGTTTAACCATTTATACCAGGCTTTCATAGAAACTGATATTATTGTCACATCCTGCATCCTTATGTCTTGTTGCCATAATTGCATGGGATAAACCAAAAGGAAACTAGGACTGAAATTCAGTATTTTCACCTTTATTTTGAGTGTTTGGCTACATGTTACCTATGTTACCTTCCTTTGAAGGCAGCATTCGTCGTTACTAGGAGCAGACAAGATTCAGGTTTTGAGGGTAGATCCGTTGCATTGTTTTGAATCCACCTCCAAAGTTACCTATGTTTATTAAAATTACCAAGTGCCAGTGAGGTACTTCTAGAACAAAGTCACTTCACACACCAGATAAGTTATGGGTGCAAAAAGGCAAAGCTTTCTTTGAGTCTTTCAGATGATTCTCTTTCAATACAGAGAAATCCATTGGTATGACCATTTCAAAGACACAGATGTATAAGGCCTTGAGAAATCTGGGAGAAACACTAACTTGCTCTGGCTCCAGAACAACAACAAGAGCAGTACTGGGTCAGATCAAGGATCCACACGGCCCAGTGTTCTGCCTTTGACTGACAAGGCAAAATATTCTGGTTTATCTTCAGATCAATAAGATCTTTCTGTAAAGATCTCCTTAGAAAAGGACACTGGTTTTGACAGTAGGCAAAAGTAGATGCCAAGGAGATAAAAAATAGGGCAAAGACAATACTTTGTCACTAAACATCTTAGCCTTTTAATCGTATGCATGGCTTCAAGTAGAAATGCAACCTCCCTTCCTGATAGGAGTGAATGATCAGCAACTCCACTCCCTTCACTCTGGGCCTGCTTTGTTCTTTGACAAACCCACTCCTATTAGGAGGGTGGGTGGGCTGGTGCATGTGTGTTCTAATGCCAAGGACTTTTGGCATTAGAAGTGGTATCTTGGGTATTTAGCAGCTACCCTGACTGGGTTTTTATTCGATGAATTTGTTCACTTCTGCTTGACCGCATACAAACCTTTAGTACCTACAACATCAAGAAACAAGGGATTTCAATTTAATCCACGTTATGTGGAAAATCTGCTTTGTTTGTTCTAAATTTGTATGCTGCTGGTTCCATTTAAGGCCTCAAGTTGCTATATTGGAAAAAATACATGACCTGTATTTACTTCGGTGTTAAAGAATAAAGATGACAGCCTGCTCATCTCACAGTGACATTGTGAGAAGTGTCAGCTCACAGTTCTAAATAAAAACAGTTAAAAGGCTTCCAGCTGCAGCAAACAAGACAATTAATTGAGAAACCTTATAAAATGGGATTGAAGATACTATGAACTTATAATAAAAAGCTGTGAAGACAAAGGAAAACTATACCTAATATTCTCATAACATGTTTTAACTCACCTATAATGAAACGTGGATCTTTTAACCAGCCTGAAGGATATTTTGCATAGTTGGTTAAGCTTCGGCCTTGCAAGTAGCCATTGTAAATACAGAATAGAAGCGCTAACACAAAAGTGAAAAATGGTGTTGGCTTCCCTTCCCGGATCAGAAGGGGAAATATGAGTGCCCTATAGCGAACAAAGAAAAATTGTTCCATTATCAAACAGAAAAGATAGCTTTGATGTCCAAAACTGTAATCCATAGTCCATATTATCCTGCTTTTCAGATTCTCAGTGGAGTCTTTGAACCCAGTTCAGAAGGATAGTTACACTTGCTTTGACGCATAAACATTAATTTTCTTGCCTATCAGAATTACAAGATCAGTCCTCTCTCCCCTTCTGACAGAAATTTTGAATTTTGTATCCAAGGCAATTACTTAGACCAGAGCAATAAAGGCAACTGATGTTAAGCACAGCATATTTTTGTCCTCCTTTGCCCCTAAATCCAGTGGTATCATCAAGCTTTCCAAAACAAGCCAGGTCTCATGAACCTTACACCAAATCCACCAGCACTTCCCAGGGGGAAGTCAATCCCCTTGAAATTAACCTAATTGAACTCAGTTTCCTCCTTGCCCTAAAAGTCACTTAAAAACATTAATTGCTTTGCCTTGATGATCTTGGCCTACCCTATGACACCTGTTGAAGACAACAAATCCACAACTGCCATCTCATTTGGGAAAGGAATCTTGATTGTATCCCAGGGGATAATGCGAGTTAACAAACAAGCTCCAGACAAGAAAAGCAGGTGAATGGTTTTGTGCTCTGCCCCACATAACTAGCCAACTCCCAATTGCCTATCAATTTAATTACAATCTATAACAACACAGGAGCAGGATTACTGAAGCCTGAGCATTCTTCACATGCTTTCCAGCTACCCAAGGACTACTGCTTCAAAGGAGCCTTTCCAGAGGAAGCAAAACCATAACAGCTTTTAAGAAAGCATAACAAATTCATTAATATGATTATTTAAAGCCCACTACATTACAACAAACAGAATTGGATAACAGAGGTCTCCTCCAGTTTACATTCACCTACAGAACAGTCCCTCAGTCTGGCAACAGCAATAAGCAACTGGAAAACACAAACTGCAGTACAGCTCAGCTTTCTGTATAAACCTTTGCCTTGCGTCTCTAGCTTTTCCCAGACATGGAGAATGAGTTAAGAGTAAAGAGATTAGCTTTGGCATGGGATCTTAAGAGTGGAAAAAGAGGAGTGAAGGCACACTCCTGGGTTTGCAAAGCCCATCAGCCACCAGGCCAACTGTATGTTGCATCTCTCTTGATCGTGAGGATGCCGAGTACTGTCGGTCAAAAGCAACAGCCTCTCACAATAAGCACTGGAAAACAACTGTATAGCAGCCACACACTGGGCTTAAATTAGCCTGACAAATCTATCTCTAATGTATTAGTACAGTGGCAAAACTACCTGTCAAGTGTTGCCAGTAACTATCGTCAATGACTCAAAGGGAACAGAAAAATCTTATCTGAGCTCCAACTGAGCTGCCTGCTCCCAAGTTTCACAAAATACCCAAATACCATTGACAACATGGCAACATGGGGCACTCATGCTCAGTTTTGCCAGTATTTTAATGAATCATTGAATATCCTGAGCTGGAAGAGACCCACAGGGATCATCGAGTCTGACCGCTGAAATAAACACTATGTTGAAAAACACGATTGGAAAATAGCTACTGTTTCACAACATTAAAATTACATTATATCCGCATTCAGAGCTGAACTGTCCTTGCTGGAACACTGTCCCGGAGACTACCTGGTCAAGTCACGGCTTAAACGAGGGTCACCAGAAGCGCCACGGCTGCAGCCGGCAGGGCGCCCTGAGGGAGCACCCTGTGCTCTATTTTTATGCCATTTCCAAGAGGCGCCGTAGCACCCCGCTGCGCCCCACGCAGCGGCGAGACGAAGCAGCGAGCGCCGCACCGCCACGACTCCTTAAGGCTCAGCTCATGCAAAAACACAGAAGACATTAATGTAAAGAAGCAAAAAAGACTACTATATATTAGCATACAGCCATTATATTAAGTCATTAAAATTGATTAACAGCAGAATCTCAATCCCTGCAATCAGAAAACAGCAGCCAGGCGTTTCTACCAGGACTGACCCCGAACTGCTGCAGAACTGCACTTCCCCTGCCGTCAGCCACCCCCCGCCCCGCTCTTGGGGCACGCCGGAGCGGCGCCCCCGCCGGGC